TTCCGGATTTTTTTTAGAATTCCACACGAAGGCAACATTCCAGCAGATGACGCAGGTGGGAAGACAGACACTCCATGCAGATGGTGGCCAAAAATTATATAAGTAGGACATTATTTTCTACCTTAAACATGTATTTTAAAATAACGTCCGCACACGCGGACTGTGCGACACCATATGGCGTCATTCGTACCGCTGCCTTTATTTTTGCGACGACATACGTTGTCTTTAGTCGTTTAAAGGTTAATACTAAATCATTTTGTGTGCCTCCCTGTATGTATAGTAGCTACACATGGTTGCCAGCATTATTTCTTCAATTATAACATGATTTTATTATTTGGTTATTTTGACCTAAGTTTTGTTAAATGAGTAATTACAGTGAATGAAGTATCATACGTGTGTTGTCCTTCACCGTGTGTATTCTCTAAAAATACAGCATGTCCACTGAACCAAAAGAAAAATGCTTAACATTTTCAAACAAAAGGCTCAAAAATTAAGCCAAAAACTTACTCGGAGCATCAAGCATGGGTGTTATGCATGGACCATCCTGCAGTGAGAAGTGTGCCAAGAACACAATGATCTTCATGAAAGCTGATCTGACTTCTGTGCTCGGACAGCTTAACAGATACTCACAGAACCTGCACAGAAATAAGCAACACATGTAAATTTCACATTGCCCGACCCTGCAACAAAATTACAGCTGTTGTTAAGCAAGTGCTTGCCATCAGCTACACTGAGACCAGCTCCATATATGGCTGACATGGCATATGCTAGTACTTGGCCAATGGGTCATGCAACTCTTATGATAACATTATCAAGACACAGGCAATAAAAATACAGAAATTCAGTAAAATTCTATCATCAAACATGCAGACTACAGATGACAAGAATTTCTGAGAAGAACTAATCACCTACTTTCCTTTCACTGCAATCTGAGTGATAAAAGCAGGAAAAAACTTTGGATGTAGAATGTAGAATGAAGCCAATAACAATATACAATTTGAAAGGCTTCAGAATTGGTATTACTGAAGGGAATTATCAAGTACGTGGTTAAGACAGCCCTAGGTGGCACAATATACATCCCAGGCTTCACAAAGATTGGATCAGGCATTCAAAAGTTTTTGTGGAGGGGATATACAGATGCATGTACACATGCACACACAGACTTTTAAACCAGGTGACCAATTTTTATGACATCTGGTATGCACATTATGCCATCAGACTCCACTCCAACCTTGCACTTATTAACTTCCTACAATCCCTAACAACATAAGCTGTGAGGTGGGAACAACTGTGCAGACACTTCTAATATCAGGTCTTCAAATGACGAATGGTAAGACAGCTTAAATAAATATGCAGCTTTAACTGACATAATCTCTGAAGAATTTAAAGCAGCACAGTGGTTGCATTAAATATATGGGTACATATGGTGTACCCCCAACTAACTGTGTGTGGACTACCTGGTTTGTGGCTTATCTCAGTGCTGCTGTTCTTCGACATGTCTGCAACCCTGTGGGATGCCTATTTAGTTTGCTTGGCATGCCTGTCTATATGCATGAAACCATAGGAGTACCACGGGACAGATTTTCATTTTTACCCTAAACTCCTTGTTCGAATACACGGGGATTTCCATAGAACTTTTTTCTGAAGCCCATAATGGGTATCTTTCACAAACTAAACTGATAGTGTTTTGTTGTCAACAATGTTGGATGTAAATAAGATCTAAGAGCTTGTGATGATGGTATATTAATACACTTACTGAGTTTCTGGACATTATCCATCATCCTGTTTTTATTTAGAACAACTTTTTGGAGACTGTATTCTGTCTTCATTCTCAGGTGTAACCTACTCAGCTGGGTCGAATTTATAGAGCTAGTCCCTATCTCCAGGATAGATGGGGACTATCTCTATCAACTGGGCCCAACCAAGTAGGTTCCACCCAAAGAATGAGACAGAATGCAGTCTCTGAAACATTGTTTTAAACAAAAACAGGATGATGGATAATGTCCAGAAACAAAATAACTGCATATCAGATGTGGTTCTGAGATTCAATAATTATAACCAAATCACAGTAATAGTTTACAATCTACTAAACAACCGACACAATGAACTGTGCACCAGTACTGCTGCTAGATCTGAGATTCTCACTCAGGTGACAATGAAGAGTATTGTCTTCTTGCATGTGACACCATACAGTGTGATGCAGTTCACGGGCACTGCAGACTACTGCTGGGCTTCACAGTGACACACCCCACATTCTCTCTGTCCCCATCTACATTCTACAGCACAAGACCCATATAATTTGGTCACTTCTGTTCACCTTCAGGTGTCACTGTGATGTATACAGTGGAACACTAACTTGGCCATATACAAGGTAACCCACCTGCTGCCTGCTGCATGCACCAGTCGGATGCAAAACAGCTATCATATCCTTCATTTCCAGTTTTTGAACAGCTACAGTCTATACTGATTGAAAATGAAAATAACATAACAAAACGTATGGGAACTCCAAAAAAACGCTAACAGGGAGGTTGGGAACAAGAGCAACGTATCAAAATGATTAAATTGTGAGCATATTATATTCGGGAAGTAACAGCAATGGAGTCACGATCTTTCTTTCATCTTCAATGTTGGAATTTATGTGCTGGTACTTTATTCTGCAAACCCTTAACCTCTGCTGATGGCAGATGGTACGTCAGTAAATATAAAGTGGTAAAAATGATGCACGTGGAGTCTGAATACATTCCAATGTCCTGAAGACACTAACATATAATGGCATTTAACAACTTCTTCTCCAGCTACCAAGTCGAATGCTACATGTAAAGCCGCAACTGAAGTCACTAATATTGCCTGTAAAATACATGAGGGCCATTCAAATGAAACCTGCTTGTGGCACAGCCTGAGATATAGCATCACAAGTGATCATTTAGCTCTGAACATGACATCATCAATCGAAACTGAGCCGTATACTATTGATAGTAATTAAAACTTCCCTAGATATACTTACCAATAATTAGAAGCAGCTTCAGAAAGGGCACAGTCTATTTTTATGCATAGTATTAAGAATGCACCTGAAGGTGCCAATAATGGAATAGATGGGATCACAGCAAACAAGAATGCTGTGACATTGTTAAATGACAGTGTTTAGGAGTGAATTCACCCAAACAGAACCAATGACCTATCATTCATTGCCCTGGTACAAACTGATGTCAACCAGCGGAAATTCATGGGAGAATAAATGCCCTTCGATACCACCATACCACCACCAAGAGAAAGCATCCCAGCACGATGACATGGGGTGCTGTCATGTTGAACAACAAGGTCCACCCCATGTGGTGGACAGTGCTCAATATGGACAGCACTGGAGCCTCTCCCAAGTGCCCCAGATCTGTACCTCTGACTTCATGAGTTCAGTCCCTCAAGATTATGCCAAAGGCAGAATTATTTCAGTGCATGTTCAATGTGTGACATCACTTGCCACATATTATGGCTGCATGGTAATGCTTTATAGCAAACAGAAAACGTGAATATCAACTGTTTCCACCACAATGGTAGGCTGAAAATTTTGTACAGGGAATGTGGGTTATTCACTAAATTGTAATTCACTAAATATGGGAAAATAATATTGTTTACATTGCAATTTGGCCAGGACCAGAATAATATTCGATAAATGAAGAACATTAAATTGGCAATTCATTGTATAAAATGGGAGCTACGTTGTACCGATCCACGGCCAGACAAAGGATGCAGATAACTGGTCTACACATAACAAAGACTGGCAACATGCAATCAAGGGATTTTCCACATTCAGCATAGAAGCTAATGGCAAAATAACAGACGACTCTACTTCTAGTTTCCTAACCTGTGTGGATGCTGAAAGAGAACATTGTGCGCAAACCACGCCCTGACTGCACGGGAACTGCGTAAATGATGGCAGAGAACATCATACCACTCTGTTGCTGTACCACGAAGAGTCTTCTTTGTGTGGAATCCTGTATGAAACAGAAACCTTGAAGCTAGCTGGACACTCAACATTGCCAGCTCCTCAAATTCAGGTGTCTGGAAACAAATACCAACCACCTGTATAAATACCTTAAGGATTAAAAAAACTTCAACAATCAACATAACACACAGTTTTTATTGCTCTCCACATCGGTTACATGTTTTGACGCAAATGCACCATCATCAGACACAACCACTGAACGCTGAGAATCACTCATCTCGGACTTGAAATGGTCCAAGAAATAAAATCCAGAAGCAGGGACTTAAGTCACTGGGTGTCTTCCACATACAGTGGAAATCCCTATTTAATGTAACTCAATGTAACATCCAATTTAACTGATCCCAACTCAATAACCTGCGCCAAATTTCATCTATTTAAGATCTTCCTCAAGTTACTGTTCAAATCGAGTGCTCTCTAATGAAACCTTAAACAAAGTAGAATGCATACATGCTGAAATCTACGTTTCATCACCAAAACTCTGTAAGTTAGTGAAAATGGATCCATTTTGGTATCGTCATGCACACCAGTAGTAGTGGAACTCAGGGATGTATAAAATCTCTCTTAACCCCAATGTAAGCCTGTAGCCAAGTTCAAAACTTGCTTCGTGGCATTATGTTGTATCACACAGCCACACAACATTCTCTATTTTATTCTGCAGTCTGCTTTTAAGACAACAGTTCTATACAGGTTGAGTCCTAGTATATCAACTGTTCTATACAGGATGAATTTCAGTATACCAACTGCTCTACACAGGTTCAGTCATAGTACCTGTATATCAACATGGTAAGCAGAACAACTTGTGCCCGATAATTGTTTTGGAATGAATACTACAGACTCAAGTTGAATGCATACTAAGAAGCCTGAAGCTGAAAACAACACACAAAGAAATTTGACTTACCAACTTTTCATTGCTGTGTGGTCGATTTACAGGAGGACTATTGCAAGACACTAGCTTTCTGATGAACTGAAAATATTCTGCTGAGAACTGGTTCCTGTTATGCATGAACTTGATGTTCTGTTTCCGAACACTTCGCTCAATTGCAAGTGGCATTTTCATGATGCCCAATTTTGTATCAGCTACAGAAAGGATGAAAAAATATGTGTAACGTTATTATATTACAGTACACATTGATAAATCAAATCCAAAACTATGTAAGTACCCCATCCCTCCCAACACAAATGTATACACACACACACACACAAGCATTGCTTCCCTCTCCTCCAAAAAAGTTTGTATTTTAAAATCCTATTTCAGTCTCTGGGTTGAAATGTACACTTCACGAGTGACATGTGACTTATAGCCAAGTTAGCCAGTACACACCAACTGCCTGCCAGGACTGCAAAGAAACTGAAAGGCACACTGAAATCCACTACCAACAGACACTCAGTCAACAGTGCACTATATGCACTACTCACACTCTCTCTGTCTCAATGGTAAGCAATGCCAAATTTCAACCACATTCAACACTGCACGTTTGACTGTATATATTCATATATTTAGAAGCAGGAGAGTCTGCTAACGGACCAATTAAGTTCTAAAATTTTAAAGCTAACAAAACTTACACAATGACACCTCATTCAGACTCTTCATCAATGCATTCTCCTCAACGTCCAGTCGTGTATAGAACAACATGTATGCATTCCACCACCGCTTCTGGCGTCGGTAGCTCATCCTCTTCAACATATGGTCAAACACCTGCAAACTTGATTCATGGCATGACCTATTCCAACAGAACTTAAAAATATGATTATGATACACACAACATGCGTGGAGAGACAAGAGAAATGCAACTCACCTCACCCATGTAGTCTCCACCAAAACACTGCGTTTTCATTTCTTCTTCATCTTCCATCTTACACTCGCTCACTTCACCATCGTCAAATTTATACCACTTGGAACTTCCATCACTATGCCTACAACACAGTGTACCGAGAACTTCAATTTCAAGAACATGGGATTTATTTCCCCACTTATTTTCACACAGAAAATCTATGTCACTTAACCCTTTTAAAGACCGAGTTCTAAGTAATATTAAAGATTCAGTTCATACCTAACAGGAAACACATTACATCTCTGATACAAAGCCCAACCGGTTAATGCTGTTTAAGGAAATGGTAACTATAGATCAGAACCACACAATAAAAACAATACAGCCTGTGTACAGAACACAGAACAGGTTTTGAAGAGTTAATACATTTAACATTCCTTGATTTAAGGCTTTCTCTTTAGTTTCTGTGGTCCCAGACCCATCTTCCTACAGCCAATCTTCTCAGTTTAAAGCGTTTCTGGTATGGTACTCAAATTTGCTACCTCACCCCCACCCCCTAAAAACAGATCTGGTTTAATCATATAAAAAGTTCAGAAAGAATAGTTATCTTCAAAAAGTGATGATTATGTTGTAATTGTATTTTGTTTTTCATATATAAATTTGACACTTTTATTAAAATGTTTCTGGTGTTTCCTTTATTTCCACAACTCAATGTACTGCATACAACAGACTGGTTATTACAGATCCTGCTTCTCTCCCTTCTCATCCTTGTTTAAGCAACAAGTTCCTAGACAAGAAAGCCAACAGCACCCAGCATCTCCCAAGCTACATACTTCATCTTCAATCATAACTGCAGAAAGCATTTCACACAAGTCATGCAGACAAACAATTCAAGGATGGGAAAACTTCACCAAAATAACTGCCTTCTTAACTTGTCAAAAGCTTCTTGCCTGAAACGTTAAACTGCAAGCAAAGTAACTACTGTTCACTGCGCAGTTCTTACCTATGCAGAATGTACGAGTAGTAATGGCCTCCGCTGGCCTGTCCGCTATGTACAACAATTCCTGTTAGCTGGTATTTTGTACAAATCTCTTTCGATATCTCATCATAATCACAGTCTATCATTTCACCTTCAAGTTTTGCCAAGCCTGAAACTGCATGGAGAATTATTCTGAATTAAAAGAAGGTCCTTCTAATATACAAGAAAGTAACATGAAAACCTACAAAAGTATGGAGTATGGAACAGAAGGACCAAAAATTCAAATGACACTAGCTAAAAAAAACAACAAAATTGTTACCAGTGACTTCTCTATGCTACATTAACAGGAATGTGCAAGAATGATTCTGTCAGTTTGACATGAGAATTTGGACAAATTCTGAGAACCAAGATGTCAATGAGAATTTTCTCTGGTAGACCAATTTCTTCATCAGCTATTCATAGACTTCAAGAAATGTTATATTTTAGCGTCCTGTTGCACTGATTCACGTCCATGATGTGTATTTGTATCAACCGTCTTACAATGCACACAATTTCACCTTTCTCTTCACTACATGTTTCAGCACTAATGTGCGATCTTCAGGTGTGGTTTTATTTATGTCAAACCATTGCACTGTATGCCATAATGTATCCTTTATAAAATGATTAAAATGCATATGTGTCATGTATAATAATAAAGTTTATATGTTAAACCTTTCAAGATTTATCATCTATAAGTCGCTCTTCAAATTTCGTGAGTTATGTCAATCCTCTCCTATGGGAGTGTTCCTCCTATATTCTTGTGTATATTGTGTCCTATGTTGTGTATTTCCCTTGTGACTGCGTGCGTTGTAGTGAAGAGAAAGGTGAAATTGTGTGCACTGTAAGATGGTTGATACAAATACACATCATGGACTTCAAGAAAGCCTATAATTTAGTTGGGAGGGATGTATTGTACAATATTCTGATAAAGAGTTTGGGATACCCATGAAACTAGTTAGGTTGATTAAAATGTGTTTAAACAAAACGTATAGTAAAGTCCTTGCAGGTAAACATTTGTCTGATAAATTTCCTATCCAGAATGGTCTAAAACAGCTGGATGTAGTGACCATCGGAAACCAAATTTGTTCTCACAATTCACGTGTCCCAAATTCCACATATAAATCTCAACCTGAACTAAGTTAAATTTACAGTTTATAAAATAACCAGTTTTTTAACTTAGCATGATATTCAAACGATTAAAGAAATGTTTTTGTACAGCACCTCATAAACTTCACAGAAATTAAAAAAAAATATATATAAATATTTAAAATCTGTGAATGACTGGTGCAAGAACAATAATTCTATGATATATGCATACCTACACCATGAAAAACATTCAATAAACAATGAAGATTGTATTACAGTCAATAATATCAGTTTCATATGTTCAAGTAAATGGCATGGCTGATGTACCACTTTATGATGATATTCCTGTACCACAAATAAGAGCAAAAATATTTCAGTAATGCAAATAAAAATTGCGTTTTTTATTACAACAGGATTAAACTTGTATAAATTTATGAAACATTTCTCAAAATTAGCCTACCAATCAAAAACTACAGAGAAATATCAGTTTGTCAAAATTCCCATACATCCAATAATTCACTCTCAGGTTATTTGATAATGCTCTTTTCAATGCGGAAATTACCATATTTACTCTCATAATTTATGCTTCAATATAATTTATGCACCCATACTTTTGGATAAGAAAGCTTGGGGAAACAAGTATTTTTATCCTTGACGAAAATTAACCAACATATAATTTTCAAGAAAAGTGCGAGTAGAAACTAAATGCATTATGGCAACACAGCAAAATCTGTTTCTTGCAAAAATTATTGTCTCCTCAATATATTATCAAGAAGCGTTCTCGTGTCACCACATGGTGGAGTCTGCATTTGTGAATATCCATACTGTGCTGCTACATCACAGTTCAACTCTGATCACATCTTCCAGAAAAATTATGCATCAGATGAAATCTGAATGTCTGTCTCAAAGTTCACCAAGAAATTGTGGGGTGGAGTCTGTACTTGTAAATGTCCATACTGTGTTGCCACACTGCATTCAACTTTAATCATATTCTCTACAATAATTATGTGTCAGTCAAAATTCTGCAAAAGGGGAATTCCTGTCCTAATGTTCATCAAGGAATCACATCGTGGAATATGCATGCATGAATGCCCATAATGTGGCATCACAAGGCATGCAACTTAATCACATTTCCTGATAAAATTATGCACTGGTTGAAACAATACCAATGGACATTTTTGTATGAATGTCACTCAGCAAATCATATACTCGAGTCAAGAGGGATGAATATCCACACCATGCTTCACATTGCACTTAGATGAATTGCATTTTTTGCTAAAAATATTGCGCCAGTCAAAATTTTTCACAGGTCCCTTTCAATTCAATGTTCATCAAGGAATCAGCTGCCTCATACTATTGTATAAAATTATACTCAAACAGTATGTGCATATTTTTCAAGCACCATAACTTTCAGATACTTTCCTGGGGAGCAAAAAGGTGAGCACATTACATGAACATATTCTGCATACAGAATCAATGGAGGTTGTCATGAATGGAAATGCATGGATTTGGAAGGAGGCAGCAGTCGACTACTAAGTTTACCTGAATATAATATGACTAACTTTTCTTACATTCAGGTATAAGAGTACTCGCAGATATCGATTTAGCAATGACCTTGTCAGACCAAGGCCACTAAACCTCATCATACCGCCCCGACAGCCAAAATTCAAAATGCATTAACTCCCAAATGGAAGTACAGAACATTAACACTACAGAAATCAGTTAAATTCCAAGTATTCTGCACCTGTCTCCACAGATTCCCCTCATACCTGTATAAGGATCCATGTCTAAGTCTCGTGGAAATTCAAAGTAATCATTGAACTTGATGGCACACACTCTCTCGAAGTCATACTCAAAGCGTTTTAATTGGATTGCAAGGATGGGTGGCAGCTTCTTCACACACAGGCGCTTCACTGTTACAACCTAAACGAGAATGTAATGTGTTGATCTTGACATAAGAAATTAATCCCCACAATAACTGGGCTTTTGCCTTTGTCCATCACCCGGTGTTCTAAAAATTAGAGATTACAGCATTTTGGAAACTGGATCTCTTTCTGTCCTCAGGTGAGGGGGGAGACACCTACTTTGTTGGGTCCCTTAGAAAAAGTTAACTTCTATCTAAGGGACCCAACACAATATGTCTCCCCCTCACCTGAAGATGGAAACAGATCCTGCTTGCAAAATGTCATGACCTCTAGATTTTAGAATACCAGATGATGGACAAAGTTCAAAAACCCAGAGTGTCATACAGCATCATCAGAACCCTTTAGAATCTAATAAATTCATGCCCCCCCCCCCCAATACCAGGGACAATATGAGACCTGAGAGGTAGAACTTAAAGGAAAAGTACAGACCAATTACATGACAAGAAAATTAAAGTTTTCAAGTGACTACATATTTCATATGTTTGTATGTTCTGCTTGTTTTGATTTTTGTTTATATTCTGAAGTAAATCTGCTGGGGTACAAGCTCCACATATCTAAGATGACCACTGTACTTATTCCCATTAAGTATTTCAACTTGCTTTTTAAACCATTCAAGTCTGTGAGTGCACACGGGTAGTGTTCTAAAACTTCCCAGTTTCACCACATGCACACAAACGCATCTTGAAGTCTCACCATATTGTCACTGTACTCTCTGCACTGCAACGACCTTCTGTGATATACATACTCTATCAGGGACATGTGGTAAAGTAGTTGGTTGAGGCACTATGCTACAAGCTGGAAGGTCGCAAGTTTGATTCCTGATGAGGTCACTGGACTTTTCAGTTAACCCAATCCTTCCAGCCACACTACAGCCCTGGGGCCAACTCAGCCTCTAACAGAAATGAGTATCAGGAATCTTCCTGGGGATTAAGTGCGGACAGCATATAAGGCTGACCTCACCACCATCTGTGAACCAATTGTCTAGAAAATGTTGAGCCTCAAAGTCTCACAGTCCTATGGGCCTCCATGGCCTGTTACAGGCCCGGCAACAGATGTCCTATTGGTCAATGCATTTGCTTGGTGCAGACCACATAGAAAAAAGTTTCCCCTTTATTTTTGCACATAAAAATGGCAGTTCTTCTATTATTGGCTGCATGTGTTGCTCCCTCCTTAAGGCTGTTCATCCCGAATAGCCTAACGGTGTATCACAGGTCCTTCTTTTTCTCAGGGTTCCTACTCGTGACATCTTCTTGTGGTTTGGCTCCTCCTCTTGCGGTGACTATTCTCCAACCACTACTACCACCACTCCCTCCTTAAGGTTGCTTGTCCCAAGCAGTTTACTGTTAGGGCGCCAGTAGATCCAGGTGTATCTCCATAATCCAATATGTACTGTAGTTACAGACTACATTAACAAGCTACCTACATATTGTAAAACAAGCAGTCACATTAAATGAAAGACACTACATTACATATGCAAGCTCATTTTGTAAACAGAATGCTACTTACACAGCAAATCAGCAGCCTCCGTAGTCTAGGGGTAACGTTCCCACATCATGACTCAAGGTACGTGGGTTCAAACCCGGCGGAGGTCGTTGAATTTTTAAGGGCAGAAAAATTCAGGGAACAAGTCCTCCGGGAGGGACTTTAAGCCGTGGGTCCCGTGTCACAGATTTACAGCACGTAAAAGATCCTCATGTCTCTAGGTGATCTCTGAGCAAAATTAGGCAACAATTTCCCACCCAAGTAGTTTCCAATGCCTCTGGTAGATGGGGGAAATATCAGGTACCAACGGCCGACCTCATTAGCTGAACAGGGCTGATAGTACGCACCAGTACCAGTAGGGTATGGCGACAGTAGAAATTAAAGGGGAACGCACAATGGACCAATAACTGGTCTAAGTGCATGGGGAAACCCACCCCCTCTAATAATAATAATAATAATAATAAATAATACACAGCAATCACAAACCAACACACTTTGACCCTGAAGATGGAGGCAATATCACCCACCACCATACGGTGTAATAACCAAAGAATAGAATTATCATCAATAACACATACCTTTTTGTTGCATTTTTCACAGTGATACGCATCAGCACCTTCCAACAGTTCACCCTTCACATACTGCTCCAAGGAATCTAGCAACGTACTGTGATTCCGAATGTCCACACTGATTACACTAAACGGCTCCTCTTTTGAGTACCTATGAACAAATTTACTCATTCAGTGGGGGAAAACATATAGCATCGGTGGTGAATTATGTGAGCTCTGAAGCTCGCAGTGTGATGACTAACTCCTGGGCCATGATGCCATACAGCCTGGTACAAGTTTACAGACATTTTGGAGGGATGTCAACATGTTCTACCAGACAACACAGCATCATATCCTAAAGACAGTATTCTTCATTGGCAAATTAATTCCTCCTCTATGTTTGTCATATGCAAAAATTAATCTAAATATAAGACTTCATATCCCTTGTTTCAAGGATTATAAAAGTCTCTTAGAATAGTACAAGTATGTTACCAAACAAACTCTAGATTCACAGTGGGTAACATTTACGTGAGTACAGTATGTATAAAGCAGATTTACATAAAACATTCTCTTGATAAAACAGAAACGAACAAATGTGCAAGCAGCATACAAGCTCTGGATGTCAAGTGGTACACCCTGTATCTCAGTTTGACACTACTATAGCCAGCGCCAGAATCTAGTCTTTTTCTGTACTGTGCCAGACTCTGATCTTGACAGCTTTGCAGTGAGGAAGCAGGGTGAGGCAGGAAATGGCAGAAACACATCTATCTACTGTGTACAGCATTAGTTCAGAGCATACTGGCCACTTGTGTACTTGTGCAGTGCTAAGATGAACTGAACTAAAGCAGTTGTGCTTGTACCTCTACAATGCAAAGCACAATTTCAGCAGTGAAACTGACAATGAATACAATAACAGTATGCCTGATGAAGACAGTGACATGGAGCTTGGCTCAGGTAGTAGGTGCCAAATTCATCCTGCAGCTCCTGAGGCAGCAGGGTCTTTAATGGTTCAGACTTTCTGCATACCTCACAGCTCTCAAGATTATTCCTGTACTGACTGTACTCATATACTTTACAGAAAACTCCAAATGGAGTACTCTACTCAAAAGCTATAGCTGGTGAGAGAACTGCTCTAGGATACTTCAGATCATGCACTAAACATGCAAAATAACATACCTGTGTGGGCAACCTTTGCAAATTTTTTGGTCCGAATATGAACCACCAAGAATTTTGCCCATGATCTGCTCCTGATTTAGAGCCTTCAGGGCCTCATCAATGCTTTCAACAAGACTCATGAAGAATTCAACGGCATCTTGCTGTTCACGGAGGTTCACTGGTTCTCCCTGTAGTCTGCAAAACAGGAAAATATGCACTGCATTACATTAAATAGCAAGAAGGGACTGGTGATATGAGGGCAAGAAAACAGACTCTCACTCAAAGGGTTTTGAATTCAATCCCCAGCCAAATCTGGGTGTAGAGTCCTCTGTTTACAGAATAATATCTCAGCTTCACTTGCTCGCTCGCTCACTCACTCACTCACTCACTCATGGAGATGAGCCCTTCTTCAGAAGCCACCAATTGTGCAGCTACTCAAGAGCTTCCCAGCATTTTATGGAACCCAAGGGTTCGTTATCATGTTCAAAAAAACCCTCCACTGTTCCCTATCCTGAGCCAGATCAATCCAATCCATGCCATCCCATCCTATCTCTCTAAGATCCATTTTAATACTGTACACCAACCTACTCCTTGGTCTTCCCAGTAGTCTCTTTCCTTCTGGTTTTCTCACCAATATCCTATATGCATTCCTCTTCTTCCTCATTCATGCTACATATCCTGCCCACCTCATCCTCCTTGATTTGATCACAATAATTAAACTTGGTGAAGAGTACCAGTTATGAAGCTCCTCATTATGCAGTTTTTCCAACCTCCTGTCACTTCATCTCTCTTCAGTCCAAATATTCTCAACACCCTGTCCTCAAACACCATTGGTAAATGTCTCTCCCTTAATGTCAGAGACCAAGTTTCACACCCATACAGAATCAAAGACAAAATTATACTTTTGTATATTCTAATTTTTATGTTTTTGTACAGCAGATGACAAGACAAAAGCTTCTTGACTGAATAGTAGCAAGCATTAACCAAATTCAATCATTTGTTGTCATCGTTCCCAAATATCTGAACTGTGCCACATTTTCAAAACATCTGTTACCTAGCTTTATGTCATGATTTTGCAACGCATTTTGGTGATGAGACAGCAATACATACTTAGTTTTCTCTGTGTTTACTGCTAGACCAACCTCCTTACTAGCATCAATTAAAGTTTGCGTGTTTCCCTTTATGGTATCTATAGATTTACAGCATCAGCATAGACCAACAGCTGATGTGTCCCATGTAATTTCAGTCCACCTGGCTTTCCTGGACCTGCAATGCATTGGTGACAACGCAATGCCAGCCATGTGCCAATCACAAGCCTCTGATTTGGTGGAAGCTGTTTTTTTCAGTGTGAAGTTCATGCAGAGAAAAGGACAGTAATCAGATTGCAGCATGTCAGTTTTGTGTTGTGCTACCACATGCATGTTACTGGCCTTCAGAAAAAATATGACAGAATGAGAAACAATGACTGTTCTGTTTCTCATGAGATGTTGCAAATACAGGCCCTACAAAAAGGAAAGAAAAGGAGCATGAGTACATGAGACTTCAAGGTGAGCAGAGGGTGGATCACTTGCTTTATAAGGAGAAACGAACTTCCTCTTAGGAGGAGGACATCTTTGTGCCAGGGACTACCAAAAGATCATACTGAAAAGTAATAAGAGTTCCATCGGCATGCTGTAAGCAAACAACGCCACTCAAACTATCTTCTTTCAAAGATAGGAAATGCCTACCAGAACTATCACCAACAGGGAAAACTCGGAAATTTTTGCTCAAAATAATTTGTAAATGGAAAAACCAGGGCTGGGAACTCATTTCTGATGAAATAATCATTAGCAATTATAAATTACAATTATAAAAGTTACAATCATTAGCAGTTTAAAAGAACTAGAATTTCAGACAAAACAGATGGGGCAGAAGATGACAATGTGTCTGGCAGGAGGACAAAGAAGATGAGTCATCATGGTAAACTTCCAAAGAAAGCGAGGTATGGAAAGGTATGTCAGTTTCTCTCAAGATGCTGGACAAAACTGCATGCCTAGCTATGGGCAATATGTAATGCACAATATGCAGTTACATAGTTTACCAATTAAATGCTTCACCTTTCTAACCATCTCAGAGTATCAATCGTCAATGCCAACTCAATGCAATTGTGGTGAGCCATGCTGAACGTCAGCTGGCTCTTGTGTGTGATGTCATGGCGTCTGCTATTCCTATATTCCATCTTCACCCCCATACATTGACATATTATCCTTGTGATTGCCTACGTATCACGTGACCTTCCATCCCTCTTCTGATGTCGTGGAAGGAAACAAGACCTGCTGCGCAGTCTGTGAGGCTACATAGTTGAGAGTGGACGCTTACCAGCCAGTGGGGGATCGCCACTGGAAATTCTGTTTTGACCTGCTACCTCTAAATTGTGTTCGGTAAATGTTCCGTGGCTGGCTGGCAAGGTAAAGGCCGCAATCACAAGCCATTGGCTTTAGAATGGTTGTGAGGCACAAGTTTATTTTCTCTTATTATTATCATTATTATTATTATTTGTTTTTCTGGAGTAACCTGTTTGACGCCTAAATGAGGTTAGTGAAAGAGGGGCATGTTAGCTTATTCTGTGTTGCGACTGTTGGCAACAAGTGATTGCTGTGCAATCATTGATTTGGGTTGTTGTGCCCCGTTTGTGCCTTGATTATGTATTTTTTTTTGTATATTCTGTGTAACTCTTGTTATGTTGTTCACTAAACTTGTTATTGTTATCTGAAAGGCTGACATATCACTGTTGTTTCTCCGTATTGCTTGGATACCCCACGAATACCTTGGGGAGCTTGTAAACACAGCAAATAGAGCCAGCGACAATGGGCTGCTTCTCTCGACTACACAGCTTGAATAAGTAAACTGAGAGAAGAAGGGGCAGGGGTGGTTCAGTGGCTGCTGCTCTTCCATGTCCTTTTGCATGCCAGTGCCACTTCGATGATGGATGAAAGGCCAAAATTCTTGATTCTTTCTATTATTTCCTTATTTTTTAATAAGCTTGTATTTTTGTAAACACAGATGCAGTATGTGGTTTTCCTATGTGTGAGCAAGGAAGTGTTTTTATTCCAGATTAGCAATAAATTTCACAATCCCCCCCCCCATATTTCGGGGTTCAAAAATATGAAATTGGGCACAGGAACTATGCAAGTAAATATGGTATTTACAATGAAGGGCTTATAACTCACTTGAAATGCTTCCACAGCCCTCGAGGAACATAATACTGCAGCTTGCTGTATGCCAGATGACCAAAAATAGCTTGAACCTGCTTCAGGATGCCAATGTTGTACTCTTTTCGTGATTCCTCAAGACCACATTTCTCATCATTGCAGTCATTTTCATTTGATTCCATATTTCCCTGCAGAAATGAACATCATGTCAAATACGTAAGCCAGAAACCAATTTAAAAAGTAAGTCGAGTAAGAAGGCAGAGAATACACACACATTTCTTACAGCCGAAATTGAATTTGTACTGTTGAAATGAAGTTCGTTCTAAAAGAACTGTACTAGCTCTTTGGTAACAAGAGACCACAGGTTCAGCAATGCTAATGCCAAAGCACAATCCTGAACCAGTTCCAGCCATCTCTGATTGTCACAACTTAGATCTCTTTAATGATATTCTCCCGCCTTCTTCTCAGATTTCCAAGAGGTTTCCAAACCAACATTCTACACCCAGTTCCTGTCTCTCCACATAAGCTATCCATTCAGCTCACTGAAAGCTCATTTGCTTCACTACCCAGATAATACAAACTGATCATTTTGCATCTTAAAGTCTCTCATTAAGTAATCCTCCCCACTAATTTCATCCCTCTTATTCCAACTAGTCAGTTAGTTATTGGAGAGGGTGGGTTTCCCCATGCACTGAGACCTGTATTGGTCCATTGTGCTTCCCTCTATGACTTCTACCAGTCTCTATATCCTACCGGCACTGGTGCTTACCATCAGTCCCACCCAGCCAGCGAGACCGGCTCTACTAGCTGAGAGGTATCTATAATGCTTCCCCCATCTACCAGAGGTATTAGAGACTGCTGTTGGGCGGGAAACGTCCGTTAATTTGGCTCAGTGACCTTTATTCCAACTATATTCAGATACTTAATTTTTCAAATACATGCAATTAGATTTCTTCTCTCAAAGTATGGCAACACCCCATGCATACATAAAAACTGTAAGAAATAAAAATAGTTCTATATACACTTAAAATTTTGATTTAAGGTTTCCTTCCAGAGCAATGCCACATTAAGTGTGCTCCTGATCATCGTGGCTTTATAAATTTCTGGCACTGAAGGTGGGCACACCATCAATGAAAATCACTGGTTACACTGACCTCTCCTTCCATTCTCTCCTCGCCACTGAAGTCCTCACTGAGGTCTGTAGCAGCACCTTCAGAGGCGAGGATGCCAACACGAATGCTCTCAACCATGTACAACTGCTGCAACACTGAATTCATATAACAGGTAGCACCAGCGTTTTTCAGGCCAACAAAGCCCTTCAGTGGCCTTGGACCCACAGGTGGAAGATAGTCCCACTCCACCAAGGGTTCATCACGCTCTGCAAACAAACACAGCACTTCTGTAAGGCAACATGTTTCCATGTTCTCGATGTAATCATAGTTAGTTTCTCATAGAACAGAAACTCATCTGGAGTACGATACCCATCCTTCAGGAGATGCTAAACACATACTGCACAGGCAGTATGGGCCCTGTGTTTGGAAGTACAGCATAACTGCTAGAAAAAAATTTGCTCTACACCAAGTAAACTGACCTGCTTCCCCTCTCTACACATCATACTACCAAGTGGATCACCCATCTCTGTCACTGTTCAAAATAACAGAACGTATTTCTAAGTCTACACGAGAATGAGACAGCACAGGCTAGCACAAAACTGTGGTGTGGTACTTGTGCACCAAGACACATGTTTCCAAGGAAAAAATATTCTGGGTGGAAAATACAATGTTGCCAGATGTGCTCAAATGACACTGTCAAATATCCGTTTAAGCACATCCAGAATGGAGAAAAATGTACTGATTACAACAAAAATCATGAAGAACTACACGTTAGAACTGATGAATACTGTTACAGCTAACACGAGTTGGCAGTGAATAAGAAAATTCTCGCTAAAATGAAATATTCTTTTTTGCCATATCTGTTATGATGGAATTGCAATGTGTTTATATACACAAGGACCTCTATTCCATCCATCAGTTTCATTACAGACTTATATAATGAAGCATCAGGAACTGAATTATTGCAGAGATAAACAAACCTGAATAGAACATGTCAGTGAGCATATGAACAAGCAGCTTCATATTGGGTACACAACTGACACAAAGCCCCACCAGGAAATCAAATGCAGCATTGGTTGTGAGGGGGGTGTTGCAGACTGGCACGGCCTGGTCTGCACACAGCTCGCCTGTGCGCTGTAGGTGAAGCATAAGACGTGATGCTGGGAAAATAAAATCCTCTACCAGCTCCTGAAACACAAAAGTATAATTTACATTTCACAGAAAGCAGAATTATTAAAATGTGCACCAGCTTTTGCGTTGCTTGATACAGACCCACTGGACCCCACAATATTGAGAGAGCAGACATAATCAATATCAGCCTGACAGAACTGCTGACTACAGACTCCATTCCACATCTGAACCACATTTATTCAGCTCCCACACACACCCTTAAAACATACAGCCTCCACACTCATGACTGCAAAAAAACGAATCATTAACTACATGGGGCAGAATCCTTCTGGGGAAGCCACCAGTCAGTCTTTCATGGAACCTGGAGGTTCATTATCAAGTTCAGAAGAGCCTGCCGTAAAACCATCTCCTTGGCCTACTGAATACAGTCCACATCCTTGCACCATATTTCGTTAACACACTGTGATCACATCAGCTGCTACTGCCCCAACCGGAACTGGGTACTTTAAGCATGCTCAACCCCAAAGCAGCTGACTTCATTCAGAAGGCTCTTAACAGAAAAATATAAAAAAGGAAAAAAAAAAAATACATCTTACACATTTATAAACATTCCATTCCAAGCTGAGCTACTATGCAGCACCTAAAAACACCGAGATCTAAGGTGAAAAAAAGGCTGAAGTTGTGTGCAAACAGTCACTGCCTTTTGCTGGCCACAGAACTCTTAACAAACATACACGCCCATCACAAATGTGTGAGGGCAAACTTTACTATCAATCTGCAACTGCCAGGTGCATCTTCCCCTTAGGGTTTCCAACTAAAATTTTGTATGCTTTTCTCATCTTTCCTTGGATTATGAGCATCACGTTCCTTTAAGACTTCATTCTCATTTTAATTGTACATAGGTTGTACCGAAAGTCATGAGCAACTATTTTTTGCATGCAACCTGGGAACAGCAAACGAAATAGAGTATGGTGGTAGGTGAAACCAGCTGTTGTGTTAACATTGAGTGTCTTGTGACGTCAATAGCTTGCATCACGTGACCAGTATCACTCCTAACAAAATGGCTGATATGTCGTTTCGCCAGCGTGCTGTCATCGAATTTCTTGTGAAAGAAGAAATCCCTGCTGCAGAAATTCACCAGAGACTTCAGCGTGCTTATGGAAGTGTGTGCATGAGTGCAAGCAGTGTTCGAAGATGGGTGAAACATTTTAAAGATGGGAACACCAGCACCGAAGATGAGCCTCGGAGCAGTCGTCCTCGAACAGCCTCAACTGAATGCAACAAGGAAAGAGTGGATGAGATCACTGAAGATGACAGGGGTGTGACTGTTGACACAATAGCCCAAAAACTTGGAATAGGGCACAGTGCAGTAGAGGAGATGACTGAAAGCTTGGGCTATAGGAAACTTTGTGCTCGTTGGGTCCCGTAGTTATTGACCGAAGACCACAAAGGTCAGTGAAAAGCCATCACCTCAGAACTGCTGCAGAGATTTCGACACGAAGGTGATGATTTTTTGCTCTTTATTGTGACATGTGATGAAAGCTGGTTTCACCATTTCAAGCCTGAAACAAAACGCCAGAGTATGGAATGGCACCATTTGCATTCTCCATCAAAACAGAAGGCAAAGACAGTGTCATCAGCTGCAAAGGTGATGGGCACAGTCTTCTGGGATGCAGAGGGGTTTATTCTGGCCAAATTCCTGGAACCTGGGCAAACCATCAACGCTGCTCGTTATGTACAGACACTGCACAAGCTCCGTCGTGCACTGCGCGATAAATGTCCAGGATGAAACATCATCATCCTGCATGACAACGCTTGCCCCCATGCTGTTTGCCTCACACTGGAAGCAACTGCAAAGATGGGGTGGGAAGTTCTTCCACACCCTCCTATAGCCCTGATCTGGCACCCTCTGACTACCATCTTTTTGGATTTGTGAAGGATCAGGTGCATGGAGGTTTTGAGACAAGGGAGGAATTCAGAAAGCAGTGCATCAATGTGGAACAGAATTTTACAGAAGGGGAATTTTCAAACTCCCAGAACATTGGGAGAAATGTGTACAAAGAAGTGGCGATTATGTGGAAAAATAAAGAAAGGCCTGTAGATTGAGGTGGTGTATTTCGTTTGCCAATAATAAAGCATGTTACTTTACAAAAAATTGTTGCTCATGACTTTCAGTATGACCCTCGTAATATGTGACAGATTACGGTTTGCTCTAATAAGCCAAAAAGAATCCATCATTATGACCACCATTATTGATGTATGCATGCCACACTTACATTTACTGCAGCAGTGATTGAATTTTAACCATGGCATCATGCATCATGTCCATAATATACTATATTTACTAGAATACCACATGCACAATGCGAAGATCTCCATTAAGAAAACAGGGTACCAAACTTTATAACCAGATTTTCATTTTTGAAAAGGTAGCTTAACATTTTAGAATCAATAATGGACTCATTAAAATAGTGTAAAATGGATTTCCATTGTTAGGCAACAGCACAATAAACAAGTTCCGCAAAGACAGATTCTTGGTAAACAACTCGTTGCTGGGTAACACAACAATATGCTACAAGAATGAGAGGTCTGTCCTATGCAAACCTTGCAGAGTTTATATAACAACAGTTAGTAGCTAGGATTACATAAGAGTACAGTTGAGAGATCTACATTACAGCAAGAGCAAACTGGAAGTTGGGGCTGCGAGCATCCAGAGAACTGAAGAAGAATTAGAAGTCAGCTTGTGAAGACTTAGTGTGTGATTAGAGGATTTAGTCCCAGTGAGACTGTTTTAATTCCATTAACAAGAGATGAGTAGTGAAAATAGACTGAGGGCACTAGTGTAACAGTGGATTTTAAAGTGCAGGAACAGCGATAGTGCTATAATTAGGTGTAATAACTGGTGGTGTGTATAAGGGGTAAATAAATCTGTTCATCCGACCCACAACCCACGTTATTAGTCACAGACACACGCAACAATAGCATTTAATGCACACAGTAATGCCTGTCATAAATTAATAGAAAGCTGTGTGTCGAGTATCCCCCGCATGAATTGCTACAAATGCAGAACTGCACAATTTCTTCACAGATTAAAATGGAGTGGACAGTTCAAAGCTCACTTCAAAACTATATTTATAGCGAAGTTCGAAGTTCACTCAAGTTTAAAAATTTCAATGTTTGCACATTCCTGGAAGGCAGGCACTTGGCTTGTGCAGCTGTGCCAATACTGCCAGGGTAAACCGAGCCAGCCTCAGCTGCATGTGCACAGCCATAAGATGTGTTTTGAAACAACAAATATTTAATGGTTATTATTACTTCGCTAATGCAATTTCTTCATTCATATTCTATAATAGCAGAAGCGATTGTTCTTTGTCCAAGTTTTCCATTAACATAAAATGTACCAAAATAAGATATTGCTTAGATATTGTGGTGGTCTTGTGAGCACAGCAACACCTTGATTTTATACCTTTCAAAGGACCACCTAAAACAAACATTAAATTGAGGAAAGTGTAAAATAAGGAAAAAGAAACTCATCCAACATATATAAAAATATTTGCTTTATGCCATAACTTTGGAAAGTCATTTCAATATACACATTTTAATACAATAATAATGTAAATGCAAATACACTAACTTACAAACAATGGAATTTCTTAAACCACTCAAACAAAGACAATTGTTTCTTTTTTTTTTTTTTTCCCTTGAACTATCATTCAGAACAGCACTGTCATGTAATGCTAAAAAACTGTCATATGAGAACTATATGCCTATTTTACTGGGGCAAACCGTATACATCAGTGGAATGGTATTGGTGATTTCTTTTAATTTTCTAAAATGGAACATTATAAACATAAAATTGGGTAAATTCCACTGTCAAAAAATGAAGTGTAAGTTTAGGAAAATCATAAATCTGAGGAGACCTAACATTGGTTACAATGTAATCTTGTTCACCTAGACCAGGACCAAATGAAAACCATATAACTTGGACAAATGTAAGATCTGAAAGTGCAAAATTACCAGAAACATACTCATATAATGACACCGCCTATTTACCATGAAAAGGTCATGCTTATATATTCCTGCTGGCCAACATTATGCTCATTAAATAATCTTATTGACGCATTATCTGGAATACTTGGGACCAAAGGATTTCAAGATTCTGGGTCCCTTGGCCAAAAAATATAACAACACAATTCAACAATTATTAAACTTCCCTTTCTTTTTTCAAAAACCCCTTGTATTTCATTCACCCACATATGTTGCCCAGAAATAAAACATTTATGTCTCAGTCCCCTAGTAAGTTTTCTTAACAAATACACTTGGTAACTGAAGTGTGTTGAATGCATCCTCTTGACATCCTCCAGTACCTTCAGAAATTGTACTTGGTATGCCATAATTGAAAACAAATAGTTATACCTACAATGTTTACAAATCTGACTGCCTAAACCACAAGCACCACAGATACAAACTAATTCTGTGGCATGGACAAGCATGATGAGTGCCACATTCAACAGTGGAGCCCACACTGTAAAACACCAGCTGAAAAATATGGAGGGGGGCCCTCCAGATTTTGGTATTCTGAATATGGAGTTCCCATACTGTAGTTAAAGTCATAGAGGACACTCCTACCTCCATCGTCAGAGCAGATGCAGCCGGCAGATTACCCTAAAATGTTAGTAATCTCTGAAAGCACAAGATTCCTCAATCTTAAAATTAATGTATAATGTACATGATTTATAGTATACCTTAATAAGGTTAATTCCTTTTTTTTCTTCAGACCCAAGTTCGTACTTCTTCTCAGGGCTCATGAAAGACAACAACTCCTTTGCAATTCCCAAGTGGCCTTCCAGAACAGCCTCATCCACCTGGCTGTCTCCTGTCTCCTTTACATTTTCCTGTAAAAGAGATTTTCATCAATGTAACCAGTATAAAGTAAAACTATATGGCAAAAATACAAATGCTATGTGTTGAATGCAAAATCAACCAAAAACATTTTTTCAAATGCTACATAAAATTACAATTTACACCTTGTTACCTAACATTTTGTCACATGAGTGCTGAGATCTATGCCTCTTGCACACAACTTAACGGGGTCAACATGGCTAAGCATTAGGAAAGAACTGTTTGTGTGATCACTCTGAACAAATAACTGCCAGTCACTCTATGTATGTCTGTTTATTCCTGTTGCTCCCGCTTGGAGCATAGGGCATCCATGAAATCCTTTGTTTCACTTCAGTTTCTTAATCTTATACACGGTCGGTGGGACTCCTTGGATGAGGGATCAGCCAAATGCAAGGCCACTACCTACAGAAGAAAACACAGACAAATATCCATGTCTTGAGTGGGATTCAAATAGGTGATGCCAGCACTCGAGTGGGTGAAGACATTTCACGCCTCAGACTGCTCAGCCACTCTATCTCTCTGGTGGTGTCAAATTTTATTCATGAAATTAAAGTGTCTCACAGAAGTAATTTGTGGAGATGATTTTAATTCAATTTTATTGTTACTTTGAAAAGGCCAGCAAACCAAGAGCCAGACAGGTCTTACATTAACAAGCCACAGAAGTAGTTTTTAAGGTGTCTGATTATGTCAACTGGGCACGCAGTTCATGGCATTATCAAGTGTCAAGAACGTATGGCCAATATTTGTGGTGTTGGATTGACAATATGATGCTGATTCTACAGGAAAAGCAGTCTGGAGAGTATCCCAACTGGAAGGATACTGCTGACTTCCACCTATCTACAGTAAGTGCAGTCTGGAGAGCATCGCAACTGGAAGGCTACTGCTGACTTCCACCTATCTACAGGAGGTACTGGGTTCAGTGGAACTCCCTGGTGGTGAGAGCATGCTGGAGCACAACACTGGGTTTCAGCTGACAGTCCAACATAGTCCAAATGGTTCTACCCCAGAGCAAGATGAGGGTAGTACTACTTGCTGCACGCAACAGGTGATGTTGAGAATTAGCACCCACAGTGTGACACCAATACAGCACATGCCAAGGTCTGTGAACCCAGGACTAAGCAACTGTACAGGGTACCAGAGAGGAGCCCAAGCCTGATTGTACCACCTGCCCGAGCCCAAGCCCGACTGTACCACCTGCCCTGAACCAGAGGAAAGTCACCTAACTTGCAACTTTCTTGGGAAGACTCTCACAAGGTGATTACCCGAATTTATAAGATCCACTGTCAGCCTGGGGTGATGATGGTGGCAGACCTCAAGACTGCTGCTGTTATGGGCTACTTGGAAGGGGAGGAGGGGAAGAAGCCTTGAGGGAACAGTGTCACATGAACTGAGTGTGAAGGGGACAGAAAGGTCAAATGCCAGAAAACACCTCTTTTTGGACGCACTGAGACTTCCCTCCCTCTTCTCTCTATCGATAGCCTCTAACGCCTCATTCGCTTGCAAAGGTGCAAGACCATTCTTGAAGTTATAACATGCCTAAAACCATGATTGGAAGGCAAGGAGAGGATCCTCTTGGTCTCACTGTGAGCACTGAAGTGGTACAGAAAGGATGTGAGAGGAGAACTCGACAAGAAGTCAAGAAAGGTGTGACATGCTATTTATTCAGTGCAAGGTGCAGAAAGAGGAGAGTGCAATTGTGTATGCTGAAATGGTAGAGGGCTAAAACAAGCTGACATCAAGATCTTCAGTGGCTACTGACAGTAAGCAGGAACTGTTCCAAAACATAATAATCATTACAATGTGTCACGCTGGATTGGCTGAAACCAGTCATTCCAAATTACTGCAACTGGTGAAAATATTTAATCCACACTGTAAAAAGTATGAACTGGATGATACTCCAAGAAGTTGCTTGTCACATAGTGATTTACCCCTTTATCACTGCAAATGCAATAGTACTGAACTTGTGTAGGCACAAGTGAAATCATGATGCAGAAATGAATTCCACTTTTGAGAGAGTTCACCTCATGGGGCCATGAGAGCATAAACACTTCAGATTGGAAAAACTGTGTTCAATACACACAGAATGAGAAGGAAGAAGATTTTGCAAAAGGAGGAATGCAGACTGAGGTAATGGATCTGACCATCAGCGCGATGAAATTACATTCAGATGGTTCACAGTGATGATCTGCATTAAATACAAGATAACCAATCCATCAGTGCCATGGAATTACATTCAGATGGTTCACAGTGATGATCTGCATTAAATACAAGATAAACAATCCATCAGTGCCACGGAATTACATTCAGATGGTTCATAGTGATGATCTGCATTAAATACAAGAGAAACAATCCATCAGTGCCACGGAATTACATTCAGATGGTTCACAGTGATGATCTGCATTAAATACAAGATAAACAATGCCACTAATCATACCATACAAAAAATGACCATATAAATGCTCGATAACACACAATGCAAGTTGTATCCTGCCAGCCTGCATGCAGGTTGCTTTAGTACGAGAGAAGTCTTTCCAGTTTGTGGATCAACAAAATACAAGTGATGGGTTAAAATGTCAGTAGTTTATGGTGGCATATGCCTAACATGGGAAGGTCACAGAATTCTTGTTGCACATCAGGTCGTATTTAAAACATTGTCCTGGAAGCATACATAAATGGCTCGTCTAAGTCTAACTGTATATGGTCCGGAAGCCAGTCTCAAATGACCAAAACCTACCTTGATATTAATACACAATGCTCTCCAGTTGCAGTTCTGTTTCTGATACAACTTCACAACTTTCTAAATGTGGGGAATATTCATATATCAGGCTCATCCACCACCACCTTGCTGGCACATTATTACTGAGTGGCAGAATCCACCTCACAGGAGCTTAGACAGGGAGGCAGACACTATGAAGGTCACTGTTACTGGAAATGGAGACTGTTGCAACAACAATCCTAAAAGCTTAATACAATCGAGTCCATCTCTGTGCTCCTGTGTCTCAACATCAAGTCCTTACCAAACTATGTACATAATCCACTTACTCGTATCTTCTTGAGCCACGCAATCTCATTGTTGAGCAGAGTTTCGGCAGTAGGAAGGGGACAGTTAGACATGAAGGCATAGTTCAGCAAACGACATAGCAACTGGAAGTATTCATGGGAGTTGCGGGCATTCTCCATAACAGTTGTGTTCAGTACTGTGAACAAAAGTGTAATGCAGAACTGCAGTGGCTGCTGGCTTGCTACACACCACGTTGATATCAACAGGAACTGTTCTGCTGCCGCAACACGGACTGACCTGCAAGATCACAACATTCATACATTCATCAGTATGTTCTAAGTAGCTTCATGGAAGGGATTGCAAGATAAGGAGTTCTACTGGTTCTTTCCCCTTGCTCCTCACCTTTACAGTGCCACATTTGGAGAGGTGGCAGTTACAGGTTCACACCCTGCAGCTGAATTGAAACTGCTCTTTTTGTAAATTAAAATAATTATTCAATCTTATGTTATATACTGCAATTCATTATTCACCGTAGGTTCAATTTTCCTACCTACTGTATTTCCTTATATAAACTAAAGCCTTACTTTGAGAAAACAAATTTATGTGAAAATTAAATCCTGGCAAAAAATCTCACTGGTGTGAATTTTGAAAGAAAAATGTCACACGATGGTAGAACTCAATAACTATGTTATGGCGCAACACTGCATGGGGGGGGACTGAAGGCGATACAGAATAGCAGACGGGATAAGCTCTTTATACACCACTTGACTGCAGAAGATACCTTCTCCAGTAGTATCACTCACACTATCACACACTCACTATCACATAAGACATGTTTCCAAGCAGCACAGTGGGATGTGAACTGGCAGTAACGAGAGAACACTACTGTCAGTGTAACTGGAATCCAAATACACGGTCTAATTGCCATAGAGTACAACTGATTAAACCTACAATTAACAACAGTATGGAAGCGTGGTCTGTCATAACTTAAACTTCAGTCTATGAATGTTCTGACGTGTAGTTATCAGCTCCAAGTGCTGTACTGCTTTCACACCTTATGAGGTCGCTGAATATGAGCATCAGATTGCAAAGTGCTACAACTGCTGCCATATCTTCTTCCTCACTAACACCTGAAAATTCTGTTATCGTCTCTGGGGCCGATAACGATCCTCTCCGTGATGCTATCCAAGCATTCTGCTTCGACAGCCTTAACACGTCTGCAGACAGCAGCAAAATGTTCTTGTGCGAGCTGCTCACGATCTCCCAGGTCAAATGCCACATTTTCTGCAACAACCCTATTTTCTGTCCTGTGCTGTTTATAATGGGGTGAGGGACAGGTACTCCAATTGCTGCATGTCCATGCTCAGCAAACAAATGATCCAAGTCTTACCCTGTGGTTTGTGAATTCTTATCAAGTTATATAGCTCTCTACCTCTGTCATTTTGGAGTGGTGTTTTGTACTGTACATATCCAACCAGGGCAACATTTTAGCTTTCTTGGAGACAGCCGAACATTAATATAAATGTGTACATTATAACACAAGAGTAAATAAATGCAGTACCTCCATACCCTTCTCACCTTGATAGTTCAAATCTATCATTCCCACAGTGTTAGATATTTCACTGCATATGGCCTACTTGATTATTTCTGCTACTATGAATCTGACTGAAATAACAGATCATTATAATGTTCATTTTATCAACTACCAAATTGAAATTATAGTAAAATCAAGCATGTGCGCATGATTTTTGTTTTCTGGTGAATATTTTACACTTTACAGTTTATCTAATTAAATACTTGCATAGCAGTCTTCTATACAGATATTTCCACATTTGGTGTTCACATTACTCAAAAATGATTAGGTCGAGGAAACACTGGGACCCCGTGCACATGCAGAATAACGTGGGTACTTCTGTCAACCACAATGCCATGCCATGCTGATATACTGCAATCCGCTTACAGTAAAAGAGCGTTCTTTACAATTTAATAAGCTTACAACTGATGTGTGTTATACATGATAAACACCATTTATGACCTTAGGTAAAGTGGACTTGATTATGGGTCAGTGTGGCTGAAAATTTGGATTGTTCCAAAGCTTCTGCAAGTCGTTCACCTGAGAGTTTAGGTGCTAATACTAGGTCTAAGACAGATCACAAACAGGACCTCCAATGTAAAATTTTATCAAAATCTGTCATGGAGAAAACTGAACTGCCTTATGTGCATTTCATCTTTCTTTCTCTACAACTTTAGTTTGGAACACATGTCACTCTGTCACATATAGGTATGCCTCATTTTATAAACACTATATTTGATCTGTACCTATTTTTCACTTCATGGTCTTATTTTTCACTACAATGAACAACTAACATCTGCACATACACGCACCTCCCACCTTCCCAGTCTGTCCGCACCTCATTTTGCTCATACAGAATCAGCTGTGCTCTTGAAGCTTACATCTGATCTACAAGTATCTGCTAGTTGAGCCAAACATGGCTCCCTAACAAGTGAAAGTGGTAGTGAGAGGTGCTGGTAAGTAAGATAATGTACAGAAAACAGTAAGATTGGCTACAAGCTGCACTGTTTCATTGCACCACCTATGAGAAAATAAACATGAATAAAATAATACAGTTTAATGTACAACAATAAATATCACAAACAAGTAATACTGTCCTTATTAGAACATACGTTAAATTGTTGGGATTTTTCTGGGACTCGTGAATGAATCTGGCGACTTCTACATCTTAGATAATGGGAATATCCTTTTTGATTTATGAATTGTTACCTTATAAACAGTTTTCATGGAACAAATTAAATTCATAAATTGAGATATTCTTGTATTGAGCAAACTGAAGCAAATTACACTCAAGATGCATGCAGAAGAGCAAGCATGTCTTCATGTAAAGTATCTGTTACTTCTGCCTGATCTGAAGAAGAACCGGAATTTCTTAACATCTTTTAGTGGAAGTCTCCCTAAGATATGAAGACAGTTTGCTACCCTACGGTTCGGGTCTTGATACCTGACCACAGAGAGATGGACAGGACCTCCACACACAGTGTTTTAACTTCGTAAAAAACACCTAATAATTAAACTCAAGACACAAGACATACCTATTCTTGCAGAGCAAGAGTAGATCGATAATAAATGTATGCCACATTTTGTCCTTCGTTAGGCTCTCTAGGGTTTTGGGGTTCAGCACCAGAGCCACTGTTAGTACCTCCAATGCTTCTTTGCAGACTGCAACCAGAAGAAAAACAATGCTGTTTACCAAGAACTCAAGGCATGAGGTTCAGCATGCTGACTCAAAATGCAACACAGAAAAGATGTATTAACAAATACCATTCATTAGCACTTTTTAACACAGTTAGTAGCCATTTCCTGTGCTCCATTATGAAAAGAATTCAAGAGATACCTGCATACAGTCTCTGAATTCAATTTGCACTTTACAGATGTCATGAACCATACGCTTTGTTCATCATATCATGAACTGAATGGAACAATGATGAATCAAAAATATTAACAAGGTACTGAAACTGATACAGTGAATGAATTAAATAATGTAAAAAGTAAAAACGAATCCTTCTTGTTGGAGAAACATCTTGATCAAGCATCCATTAATGTAACATCCAATCAACACAACACAAATTGTCAAAAATACTGAAAGGAGACCATGATTCTGGGTATATTACTGTAGAACAAAAGTTATGAAACGTTCTGTAAGCAAATGGAGGCTGCTGTTACATAGGGTTCCCAGAATTTGCATGAAAGTTTCAGAATTGTCTAAATAGTTTTCCAGGGCAAGAAATTATCTCCGATTATAGATTTGATTAATGCTCAATTAAAACACTGCCAACTTTTGACACTTCAATTTAGCACCATAATCTTACAAAATACTATGATCACACATACTTGTAAGTTACAAACAAGTTTACAGTGATGAGTATTAAGGCTAAAGTGAATCACAAAATGAAAACTGTGGAATAACCCTTTTCTGGGGAAGAACTTCTTTCTACAACCAACAAGAAATATTCAAAGTCTAACTTTATTCATTCTGGTCCACCACACTAGTTAGATATTACAGAATGATTTTACGCTGTCCAGTGTGACTCAAATGTATAAGAGTTTCCTGACCAACTACAGGGTGAATCGTTTAGAACTGGCCCGATGAATTTGCTAATAATTCCGCAGGTGATGCATATAACTGCTCACAATTATGACATAATAATCTGTGGGTCATGCTGAGTTGAATGGTGTACGCATGATCCAGCAAGTGGCAGCCCTTATGCTGCAAGGCCAAGGACAATCCCGAAACATGTCTTCAGTGCGCAGGCGACAATCATGGAGTACACTGTTGAACAGCGAGTGTTTCTTGTGCGCACGTACTGGGTGACAGGCTCGATTGCGAACACACAATTGGAATTCAGGAGGAAGTTTGGAGTTCGCAAGAAGACAGCGAAATCGACTATACAGTCCTTGGCTCAGAAATTGGAAAGGACAGGGACACTTTTAAGTGAACGTGGTAAAAACCGCCCAGAAATGCCAGAAGAAACAATTGCAATTGTGTGGGACAGATTACTGCAGTCTCCCAAGAAATCATTATGACGTCTAAGCCAGGAAACCATGTATTCTTATACAACGTGTCAATGGGCTGCAAAGAAAATGAATCTTCATCCCTACAAGATCACCAGTATTCAGGAATTGGGTGATGTTTATAAAGATAAACAGGTACGGTACTGTTTATGGTTTTGGGAATTCATGCACGATAACCAAAGAATTTTGGATATCACTTGGTTTAGTGATGAAGCATGGTTCCACCTATCAGGATATGTAAACGCACAAAATTCCAGGATCTGGGCTTCTGAAAACCCACATGAGATTGCTGTATCACCACTACACCCACAAAAAGTAGGTGTGTGGTGTGCCATTTCTGGTTTACAAATCACTGGACCAATCTTCTTCGACACGACCATGGACAGCACCTTATACTGCCTATTTTTTACGATTTCGTGCAGCAGCTGGATGATGTGGAACTTACACAGGGTTATTTTCAGCAGGATTCAGCGACGTGCCACACGTCCAACATGTCCATGGAACTGATTGAGAGCTTCTTCCCCGATCGCGTCATCTCTAAAATGATGTGGCCCGCAAAATCCCCCAACCTCACCGGCCCGGATTCTTTTCTCTGGGGTTTACTGAAGGACAGGGTGTATGCAAACAAACCGCGTACGTTACAGCATTTAAAGGACAACATTTCGGCTGAAATCAGGAACATCACTGAAGAAACACTGCAGTGAGTCACGGCGAATATGCAAATGCGGGTGGAGGCGTGCCTACTTGAAAACGGCGGACACTTTCAACACCTGCTCTGATCAAGGCACACAATCCAAGATAAGATATGTGTAAATTACTTTAATATCCGTATGGTATATTTTATATTACAGCTCATTTCATCGGGCCAGTTCTATATGAATCCCCTTGTATAATAAAAAAAGGGGGGGGGAAAACACAGACCGGACCTCTAAGGACGGCAATATCTTCCCCAATCTCCTGTTGATAAAAGAGGCATGAAGTTACAAACCTTAGCAGTTTAAGATTTTAAATATTTAAAATCTTAAACTGCTCGTATTAAGAATTTTAACAATTTTTAACTCAACAATTTGTCTTAATTAAGATCTTTATATAAAAGTTTGTTTCACTCTGCTGTACTACGACCGATGTAAATAGTAGTTTCCTTGACACATTGCAGACCGGCAATTTAAATATTTAAATCACCTTGGGAACTGGAAGTTTTAAACCTACTACCCTAACTTGTGCACTGTTCACTTTAAAAATTAATATAAAATCTCCTAATTAATTTTATGAACTAATATTTTTGGAGAACACTTACCAATGCTCCTAGAAGTGCTTGAGAGTGTTATATTTCTAGAAACATTACCCTCTGTGAAGTGGCATTACACAGAACTTGCAAATGTAGGCAGTCATACTCCTTTGTCTGTGAACTGCGCAAACACGGCATTGCCTAGAAGGATGCTTCCCCATGGAATGTTCACTCTTCACAATTTTCACGAGGGTATGTTTCCGCATATCACCCGAGAGTTGCCCAGGGGGGTCCACATGAGGCCTGTGTGGGGTGGGAGTTGATGGGCCCGGTCGCACTAAGTCTGTCTGACTCTGGTTCTGAGCCACCATCTGGTCTGTAGCCCAGGCCTTTGCCACATTCATCAGAAATGCTTTGTATTTCAATTTCAAATGACAGTTTAGATTTTTGCAAACCAAAAATGAATTGAAAATGGCACAATTTATAAGCCACAAGGCAACTTTCTTTGTCCACTTTACTGTTTTCCGAGACAGAGAATAATAGGCCAAGTATTGATGGGCTCTATCAACTCTCTTCATGAACATATTATACTCAGAAATACAAATAGGCTTCTTTACTTGTCAATGTCTCCTTTGAATATCAACCATGCTCGAACTGTGAATTGTGGAAATCATATTCACAACACGAGTATCCCTCCAGGACTGAAGAAGAATATCCCCCTTCCTCCTGAATGTGGTTTCACCACGTTTCAGTGATTTAGATACCTCTTTCAGATCTGGAGGAAGGCCTCTGCTCACCCTAATTGTTCCACAAACACGTACTTTTCTCGAAAGATGGTATTCTGCAGTTACCACACTGTTATAATAATTGCCTTGATAGACATGGTAATTTTGATAAAGATAGGGTTCCAAAATGGAAACAATAGTTTCGTGTAATTTTTTGCCTTCACCAGAATAAATTTCTAAATTTCCAATATAGCCTGAAGCGCTCTCAGTAACTACATGAACAAGTAGGCCATACTTTGTAAGTTTCCCAGGATTATATGTTCACATACGAAGCCTTCCCCTCCAAGGAATCACAGATTCATCCAAAGACAGTTGTTGGTTTGGCTTATAAACTGTCTGAAATTTCTGAACAAAAAAGTTTAATAAGGGCTGAATTTTGAAAAGCCTGCTTGTTGATTGTGGTTGCAGTTCATTATTATTGAAATGCAAACACCATCAAATTTGTTCAAATCTCTTATGGCTCATCTGTTGACCAATACTCCTTTAGATTAGCCCTCCTTGTATGACCCATTAAAGAGATTATTGCAAAAAATGTTTTCATTTCTGCTGAAGTGACATCCACCCACTTCAACAACTTATATAACTTCTGTAATACTCTTCAGTGTTGGAGATAGTACCTGTTAGTTTCCTGACACAACATGTCAAAGGAACTATCTCCAAAAATCAGTTCTGCTACTTCAGACACTTGCGTTGGGTCCAATGGAATTTGCTTCACCCTCAGATTTCCAGTAAACTTTCCCAAAGTAGGCGTTTGTCTACTTTTCCCCATGTGGCTGTCCCCTCAATGTTACTACCCACATTTTCGTCGGAGCTACTATCACTTTTACTGTCTGTGGCCACAATTCTTTGTTGTCCCCTGTCACTGCCACTGTCTGAGCCACTATCACTACATGTCTCACAAGGCACGTCAGATAGCTCACTGGAGAACAAGTCAGATATTTCTTGTTCTCGGAGAGATCGCTTGGTCTTCAACCGCTTTCGTCCTTGATCCATACTGCACTACTTACTGCCTGGTACATACAGCTTGAAGAGGAACAAAGGCATTTTCCTTTGGAGTGGGATAGGAAAACAGCGAGGTTATGTTACTGACTACTAAGCAAACATTCAGGAGGTCTATTACGCACCAGTTATGAATTTGTGTGGCGCCAGAGCAGGGTATAGCATGTTGCAACATAACGTGTCCTAAAATCATAATATTATGCCACCAGTCTGCCACGTTTAAAAGCGAAAAGCATAATATTGTGCAGCCGGTCCGCAAAGTGTTAACATATTGTTGTGCCTTCTGAGGATGGTCGTTTACTGACCAAAACACGTAACAGCATCATATAAATATACATCTGATTCACACTGGACAGTGTCAAATCATTCTAAAATATTCGAAGTCCTTCCCGTATAAACTGGGACAATAACACATACCTAGAACATCCTCTCCATCAGGCATTTTGGTAGCCATTTTGTCATGCATACGATGCAACTCATCAGGAGTGGCATTAAGCAGCTGAAGATTGCCACTGCTCACTGCCCAAGCCAGTCGAATAATGGCTCTCACTGTTGTGATATTTGGAAGTTCCCAAGCCAGTGCCTGAACAAACATTGGTCGTGATCTATCCACCTCATTTCCTGTTAGTACGAGCTGCCAGAAACAAAAAATCAGTATCACACATAACAATATCCTGTTTGAGGAGGCATGGGGGATAAAAGCAAAACAGACCTGCTCACCTGTTCAGCGAGGTTCTGCGCCAGTTTTGATGCCACACTGCGTAACATGTATTCCGTGTTCTGGTTTGGTATACTGTGTAAGGCCTGCCTGAGTACAGCTACTGGACTACGAGGAGAATTAATGGTGGGGGTTGAAGTGTTACTGCTAGAGAAAAGCCCCAGATTTCCAAGACCATTCCCATCTGGTCCTCCACACTCATTCTGCTGTGGTGGTGATGGCTGAGGATCATCGACGACACGAGCCATGACATGACCAATCACAGTCAGAAGAAGCTTGCACATCTTCAAAACCGTCAGATAGGCAGATCTGCAAGCAGAAATTCAGGTACTTACTGTAAGTTCTAACCGCAAACAATCCTTTTGGGAACCGAAAAAAACAAACTTCAAGGCAAGGGCACAATTGCACTGCAACATGCAGATTTTCAACATAGGTTCATGCCAACTGATGTGCTGACTACATTGCTGTTCCCTATTTCACCACATATGTGGAAACAAAAGACTGTTTTCAAAACCCAGGATGAAAATTCCTGTTCTGGCACACCTATATATGGTGAATAACTCCCTACAAGAAAAGGATTCTCACCGTTTTGTGGCAACATCAGCATTGGGCAGAAAATTGTTTTTGGTTAACATGTCCAATATAACTTGTGCATCCCCACTCTTAAAGAAGTTGTACTGGAATTCAAATGCTTTGTCTGAAAGGGGATCTAGGGCAGGCATCAGTAAAGCATACATCACCTGAAACAAAATTATTCACAGATTACCTCTTCAAGAAGTCTATTTTAAACAGTACACAGGTAAGACAAACTTGCTATCATAAAAAATAAGGGTTGAAAACTGATAATGAAGTCAAGTAATAAATAACCAGTATGATTTATCACATATTATTCTACAGATAATCTTGAATGCATTTATGTGAAGAAATCGACTTTTTCTATTTGAAAAGTCAGAGTAGTGTTATGTTGCTTATATCCCAATGCCAGAAAACCAAACATATCCACATAAAGCTTCCCAGAATAAAGGAATTTCCACTACTATGCCAGCTTACATCAATCCTGTAGTGCAAATCATCTTTATATGTGATATAATTGTGTCTTCTTACAGTTCTGCGTTAAACAAATCATCATGAAGCTACACATAATCTCATCCTAAGAAAGGTAAGTCACTCTGTAACATGACACACTGAGGTTGCGTCCCAAGGCATGATTTTTATCAGCACCTATTAGCTCAAAAGTTATTAGCAGCTTGGAGGAGGATGTTCATGTTTCCAAATTATAAACACAGACCACTGTGCAACCTATGCCTTTAGATAGTGTACGTATATATACACAACAATGCTACCATTATTTCCACTCCGGTGAGAGTGTGCGTGCACGGACAATCGTGCGCCCCCACACAAACAAACTAAAAGCGAACAATGCATTCAATCCATTCCCTACCCTCTACTGCTTTAGGACCTACCATAGCAGCATGTCAGAAACTAAGCCCTGGCAGAACATTTGATGCTCTAAGAGATCGAGCTCTTCTGCCACTGAAATCTCACAATAATGACAGTCCATATCAAATTTGTCACCCCATAAAAAAAAACTTGTCATGCTCTTGGACTGCTGGTTTGCTAGGTTGTCAAGTTTTTATAAATGTTATTTCTACACTATGTTTTGACATCCTAAGTTCATCAGGTAGATACTTTCAGAAACTGATGCACCATACTGCTTTTCTATTTCAGTGTTCTAAAACTTGGTTAAAATTAGTTCCAAATTGAGTACATATCTGATGATAACCTCGTAAGTTTGAAATGTGCTATGTTTCGTTTATAAAAATGTGACATTGTAGCACACTAACAGTCTATGAGTGTGACAACAATCGCAAACAATATAATTTCCTCAATTTTAAACATTTCTTAGAATCCCTTACACAAACAGTATTTTTAACGTCCTTATTTATCGTTTGTCTCTACTTGGTGTGATATTATTATTATTATTTGCTGACAAAAGCAGATCATTGTTGTAACCCACAGTCTATTACAGTAACACTGTGCTTGGAACACAGTTCCCTCATTCTGCAGCCTAACCACAACAATTTGCTCACCTGATGCTCCATTACTCAGATTAGCTTTTGTACAGACCAACAGCAAGTTCCTGTGAATATGGCAATAAAATTATATTTTGCACAAAAGTGGAGAACTCCTTGACTGGATGCACAACTCTCAAGAGGAACCCTGCTCCATTAATTGAAGAGTAAGCAGTTTCTGTTGCTTCTCTTTATTTGCACTACTCAGATCCTTCTCATGTAAAACGTCTGATTTCTTTAAGCGTGGTAATCTTTCCTTTTTGTTCACACTTCTTAAAATGTCCAGCATACATAGCAGCACTTCAAAAAATAAATATTTATATTTATTTTATGATATATAATTCATAAATGTGTTTGTGGCTTGAACTGAAGATGACTCTTAGTCAGAGTCAGAATAAAAGTTCGGCGGTGAACATGGTAATGGGAGCATCCACTGAAGTTCATTATTTTCTCAACTCACTGCCTCCCGCCAAACTGCATTTCAAACAAAATGGTCCACTGCTTTTCCCTAGTTTAGGTTACAGCTCATGATGCCTCTTAACATAATTTTAACAACTGCCATAATTTTAAATTCCACACTTACCTCTAGATGATACAAAACTTGTGAAGGTGAGGTTCCAAAGAAAAGACTTTCTACACTTGTAGATGATACAGGTGACATGTTCTGACTGCCCTGCTCAATGACAGCTGCCCCATTTGTACTAGCCCTCGCATGATTTTGAAACAAACTCTGAAGGCATTCCACAGTGTAAATGTCTGGAGGGATGAGCTTGAGGAGCATGCGGGCCCCATCCCGCAGAGGTGGGTACTGCAGCTTGCAGCCCAAGTCTGCCAGTTGGAAAAAGAACTGAGCACAATGTGGTCGCTGTGACATCAACTGAAACAAGTGCCAACACGTGCTATGAGAATCCTTATCAACCAGGTTCAAAAAATGGAGTACTTTTACACAACTACTACATACTTACCACCCCAGGTAAACTGTTCTCTGCTTCAAGGTTGGGTCCATCATAAGGATGCTGTGGTGAGCTTGTTGAACTGTCTGAACTGCTATCTGGGGAACTTGGCATGTTTGAATTCACTTGGCACAGCTTGGCTGACAGCAACTGTAAACAAATCTATGTATACATACCAAGCAATTGACCCAAGCAGTAATGCTCCTGACTCCAGTCATGGCACTGGCTATCCTGGCAGGATTTCTGTGATTTCCCAGGATTTCTGTGATTTCCTCAGCCCCTCCAAGCAAATGCTGGGAGATGACCTTGAAGGAGGAAAAACATCCTTTCCAATCCACTACCCAGTTTTGCTCCTATCATTTCACACTGTACAGTCCAAGTTGGCTGGCTGGCTCCAAGAGCTCAGTCCTTGAGAAGCCAACAGTTGCTCACCCACTCAAGAAATTTCCAGTATTTTACTGAACCTGAATGTTCATTACATTGTTCATGAAAGCCTGCCATAGTTCCTATCCTGGGCCAGATGAATCCAGTCCACACTCACACATTCCATTTCTTTCAGATGAACTTTAATTTTATACACTTCCCTCTATTTCAACGTCATCCTTGTGGTCTCTTCCCTTCAGGATTTCTCGCCAGAACTCTGCATGCACCTCTCTTCTCTCCCACACATACTACATGCCCTGCCCATCTCACCCTCCTTGATTTTATCGCTCTAATAATATCTAGCATGGAGCACAAATTATTAAACTACTCATTATCTAATTTCTGCAGCCTCCTAGTATTTCATCCTTCTGAGGTCCACATATTCTCCTCAGTGCCCTGTTCTCAAGTACAATCTGAGCTGCTGAAAGCATCATTAAATAAATAAATAAAAAATGTGTATGTATAAAATTACATAAGCATTTTCTACTGGTTAAAATTGTGAGCTGAAGGACCTGCAGAGATGTACAACCACTGATTCAGAAACATAACAGTTTTGAAATCAGATTCATGTAACTTGTTATGCTATTACAGGTTTCTTGCACCATGTGCGGGAAACAAATGTACACAGGGCTGGTCATCTCTGTCAGTCAGTTTAAACTTGGCAACCACTAACAGACTGTGATAAAATCTGGAATAAACATTACTCCACCAGAAGCTAACCCCACCCAAATTTATACCTTTTGAATTTCCTACAATCAATATTAATAACATACTGGACTTGCCGGCTTTCCACCGCAGTAGCCTGGGTTAGATCCCACGTCAGGTCAGGTGGGGTGACCAAAGTGGCATTAGGGCAGGTTTTCTCTGAGTATTTTGGTTTCCTCTGCCAATTCTCATTGCACCCAATGATCCACAGTTACCTATCATTCAGGTCTGGTATATCAGGCCAATTAGTGGGCAACATATCAAGAGGACTTGGTCTCACCCCACAGCAAGAAATAAAAATAACTAAAAAAAAATGTGACGGACACACAAATTTGTGAGGTGGGAGTTACACTTAAAATAGGGTCATGAAATTAGGTACAGTATCTCAAAAATATATAAATTTCATTTAGCTATATAATGTAATATATAAGACAGAAAGTAGCAGCTGCATGAAAACCATATTTAGCCTTTGGTTTCATAGTGGTAACTAAATAACCACTGGGGCTACGAGGTCAAAATTTAGAACGTAATAGATCATACACATGCCTACAAATTCTACATGAAACATTGTTCTAAGTCAATAATTTATATCATGGTAATGGTGCAAATCCCTGACATCATACCTGAAAGGTCAGGTGCATTCAGAAAGCAAAGGTGCAATGAATGCATGGCAACCCTGTCTATTCCACAATAGGTTACATCTGTTTGAGCAAACTCTATCTGTATATGCTTCCTGTCAAGATCAACCTTCTACAATGTAATGTCATGAGTCACCATGATAGTACAGCAAACCTTCCCCTAGTCACTTTCCTGAAAATCACTGCACTCTGCAGAACCATGCTTGGCAAGGCCAAGGCATACAGGTATTGGGGGTTAGGGTAACCACACCCACTGCTGACAATCATAACCCAAGCTCAAAATATCACTAAGAACGTTTCTGTTGCTGTGGTTTACTAAACGTTGGCAGATCGGACTACACAGCGAAAAATGCACTGCAATATACGGTGAAGGTAACCAGTACACTGTTACAATTTTCATAATAAATGCACCAAAAATTAGACTTACATGCATCTAATTTGCATGCACCCACATATCCCACATGCAACTTTTACATTCAGTTATGCCAACAAAGAGCTGTACAGTGTGTACAGTGGATAATGAACTCACCATTTTGTCTCTAAGAGGAATCTGAGAAAGCTGTTTACGGTCGTCAACTGCATCCAGCAATTCCCCATTGATGAAGAGATCCAGCTTTACATTAGCCCCACTTGCCTTGATTCGACGTAAAATCTGCCTACGTAGGGACGCTAGTGTGTCATTACTGTGTGTGAAAATATCCACATCATCTACTGCTCGACCAGTATTCGAAAACCGAACTAGTAGCGCTAGGTGTTTCCCTCTGCAGGCCCTGGAATTAAAATATGTTTACAAAAGGTTTGTAATTCCACACCAATTACAAATAAAGAGCACTGTGTTAACCAGTGGTGATGAAACTTCTAAATCTTCGTTAAGTTGCATCAGGTCTGCTTACTCAACAGCACAAAGACAACAGTCTTCACTCACAAAGAATGAAGGCTAGTCATGCTACCAATCCAAACCCCATAAATGGCCACTAACATTCGACAATACCTATCTGCATATGAAGATCAGGCTTTCCCAATCAACAGATCAGTTACAGCCAAATGATCCTACACACTTCACCTTTCCCATAAAATGTTGTTACAGAAAGCTGGTGACCCTAATGGTAAATACAGACCGTTCAACTAACACAGAAAAATGCTATTTCTGACAGCATGGTAGTAGATTATTACATAACTGTAGAGTCACAGTGTAAGAATGGATGACACTGTCAACACAGAGGCAAAAGCGCAACTGCAGTGGCTACCGCGTGACCAGAGGCAATGGTACACACTTCACTGACTCCCACATCAATATTTCATTACTCATTATTATAATGACATGACTTACACCATACCTTACAAAAACAGCTACAAAGAGACCACTTTCTGCCCTAAAGCATACCTTGCAGCATGTAAACAAATTTTGTGACATATTATGAAATTCATCCTTTGAAACTGAAGCAATTATATGCGTCATTTCATTCTGAAAAGCTCTAGCAGTGCACACGGGTTATTCTTGCATACTTATCACTTCAGTGTCCCTTCATGTTAAGGATCACAGTAATTACTATCAGTGGACACTTCACAGGTTACCCTGTTCTCAAGTACATGCTGCTATTTTACCTTGCTGCAAATGTTCATACAGTCTTACTTCAAGCATTAACTGTCTGAAGAAGCAATTCAGTGTCAGTCATGCATCAATCTGATTTCCTGTAAAGAAAAAGGTCAGGCCAATAATTTGCCGTGCGCATACCATTACTCTTACGCTGCATAAAGGTATGAGACTTTTCATTGTTCCATATTCGTCATTTTGCATACTGACATGGCCATTATGGTTAAAGTTATGGGCAGCAGGTGTGGATTCATGACTCTACTGTGCACATTTTGAAGCAACCAGCTAAGAAAGCAAATTATTGCTGTATGTAGACCTGTTGCTAAGTAATGACTCTGTAAACAATGGCAGTTGCTAGGTAATGGCAGCAACAGATTCCTAACATGAACAAATGGACTAACTGGGAAACGGTGTTCTCCACACAGTCAGTTCGACAGCTGTGTAATGCAACAACTGAAGAATTGTTGGGAAAGGTGTTTTCTGTGCAGTCTGTGCCAAGGTGCTACAAACAGAACAAGTCTAGAGTATAGTGGTGAGACAGTCACTGGCCAGTAACAGCATAAATACAGAAGCTGAAGGATCCACAGCATTAGAAGCTGTTACCAGGTGACCAGCGAAGACAGAGCAGACTGAGAAGACTTAGCGTGTGCTGTAGTGAACTGCTGAGTGTGCATTAGCGATAGCACTATAGTTACTTGAGTTTTGATCTGTAAGTGTTCAATAAATCAAATTACCACGCCAAAACCCCATCTATAGTCACTCTATCACATGACAATATGGTTGCTTAACCTCGTTCAAAAACATTTGCTGAAATAGGAGAAATTTACTGTTTCTTGAATATGATTGTAGATTCAATTTGAACAGCAAGTTAACATCAAACTGTGTCAACGAAGACAACATGGCTTGCACCAAAGACATGGTATGGGAAGGCCATACTGTTACAGTGTGCATGTTAGCTGATGCCCTAAATATCAATAAGTTGTCCTGCCACCAAATTTTGCAAGAGGATGTGAGTAAACGAAAACTCAATGGCAGGCTAGTCTCCCACCCCAGATCAAAAGGAGGCGCAAGCTTCAGTTTGTGGTGATTTGTTACACGAGGCACAGAATGATTCCACGATTGTCAACAGTATCATTGCCGAAGATGAATCATGGTGTGTCCAGTACAAACCTCAGATGAAGAGGCAAAGCGCAGAATGGCAGTCAATGAGTTCTAATGCATAAAAGAAAGTGAGGTGGCAGCCATAAAAACAAAGACTATGATAATCATTTTTTTCAATGCCAGGGGTATTGTTCATCACACATTTGTTTCTCAGGGGCAAACTGCCAACCAAGAATTTTACATCTCTGTACTCAGGTGTATGTACAAGGCGCTTCTACATCATTGTCCTGACCTATGGGCATCTGGACAGTGAACTTTGTTGCATGACAATGTGAGACCACACACAGCTCTAAGTGTCAACATTACTGTGCCTTAACATCCCCCGTACTCTCTTGACCTCTATCCATGCAATTCTTTTGCTTCCACGACTGAAAAAAAAACACTGAAAGGATGGTGACATGAGAATATAGAGGCTATTCAAGCGGCTGCAACAACGGTGCTCACAGCCATTCCGAAAGAGGCATTCACCAGCTGCTTCCAGGACTTGCCAAAACACTGGCAACAGTGTCTTGACTGCAGAGGGGACTATTTTGAAGGGGACATGAACCATTAGTTAAAAAGTTGAATTTCGTATTTTTTACAGACTCAGTCTCAAAACTTTATGGACAAAGGCTGTATTATATTTCAGCTTCCTGTTGCACTGAAGTATCACTTGCAGTTTCTCTTCTGTCTATAACACAATTCCCATGGCCTGAGGTCCACAAGTGAACTATACTGACCGAGCGAGCGACCGCCACTTGTCAGTGAAGTTACTGCCAACTTTAGCAGATAGAGGGTGTCGCATGGTCAGCACAACGGATCCCCACAGCCGTTAATCTCGGTTTTCTAGACCAGAGATGCTATTTCCTTGAAACAGCTCCTCAATTATCCTCACGAGGTAGAGTTGACCCCGTTCCAGACCCACTACTTCTCAGAAAGTCTGATTACATATGTAATCAAACATGGGACCTCTGGATCTGTAGCTAGGAACTCTGACCACTAGATCACAGAGGTGATCCTATAATGCAACATACTTTTTATTTTAGATGATACCAACTTAACTGAACTCACTAAAATGTTAGTTAATGTGTTTAGAAGTCATCAATATATATATATATATATATATATATATTGTAACGTGTTTCGTTACTGAATATG